GATATGTACATATATATACATATATATATATATATATATATATATATATATATATATACGCTCAAGTTCATTAGTACATTTTAACCCGGTGGTATCCGAGTTTGCTTCGACTGCTCCGGAAATAAGCAATGATAAAATGCCGAGAATAAAGTGGAACTCGGATGCTTAATGTCACACCACGGGGTAACAAGAAAATACTCCTTGACTCTGACTTTGAAGCCTAAGGATGTGTGTAATCAAAATCTCTGTGGTGATAGTAAGCAGTTTGAATCGCTTGTTTACCGTGAAGATAATAAGCTTAATTCAAACAAAATAATAAAAAGTAGACTCAGCTGAAACGGATGTTACTAGGAGTTGCACTTGCTAACCAGCAAGATCTTGAGAGCCGTGAAACGAAGAACATGAAAATATCTTGTCATCGAGGGGGAAAAGAGCCTGTTTTTTTATTACCCACCTAGGTGTGATGAACAGCAGACGGGGTAAACCCCATAGTCACGAGGACCTGTTGTTCAGTGGTTGAAATCGGCAACCTAAGCGCCGGAACTTGGAGTGGCGAACCACATAAGACCCCCGATAGGTTAGGCGTGGTATTGAACCAGACGACGGCAGAGTTGCCTACCACCAAGGTCGAGTGGCGGTGGCGGGGCTCGAACCTCGGACTGTAGGGTCCAAAGCACGCCGGTGACAGTGACTAAACCACTGCGCCACCACCGCCCCTGTTGCAAATGCTTGCATCGAAAACCCATTTCAAATATCAGTTTATCATTTAACTGTTGACGCACTGAATACCAGTGAACACATCAGCTAAATGATGCACATAAGTTCTCAAGCGCTGATAAGCTATCACCCTAGGGAAAGAAACAGAATTTGTTTGAGATCGACCGTAGCGTTTTTACTCACCTGTAGCTGATTCAGGTTCTGACTTCGTGCTTCGGGGTTGTTGAAACTGATCCCGCCATTCAGGCGACTGACTGCGCCCGCATTGGCTTTTCCTCGTCGATTAGTTTCGGTAAATCCGCCAAAACCGGTATTGCTCAGCTCCTGTGATTGGGCGCGAATGGAACAAACGGGAGGGATTAGTACAGACAGAATATCTATAGCTCAAAATACAATATAAATTCTGAAGAGATGAACAAGGAAGGAAATCCGATAAATGAAATCGAAATATTTATCGAGAGCGCAGATGGTATAAGACTATTGTCGTGCTCCGAAAGACATCATTAAGTACACACACAATATTATGAATAAATGGTGTTACTCTTAAGTATAAAACTGCTATTAACAATCATAACTCAACAGATCCCCGAGTTCATCATCACCATCGTACAACGGGATACAGTGAAGTGAACTCCGCTGATCGCTACCCAGGTCAAAATATAGAAAGGTAAACATGAGGGGGTAAGGTGGATAATGAGTGGGCCTGTTTTTGAGAGAGGGGAGAAAAAACTGTATCTCCATAGTTCACGCAAAGTACATATCTTTAGGTGCATACACGCTGATTCAGCGAGAAATGACTAGGTCACTGTTTTCGGTTTACTGTCTTGTCAATAGGGCTCCAGCCTGGACGACAGGAGACGCCTACGTTGCTATCTCTTAGTGTATTTCTCCACCCCTCGTCATCCTTTGATGTCCGCATGATTCCTCCAACCTGGCGCATGCACAACAGGTGTCCCAATTGACAATCTCTACTAGTTCAAATCTGATATGATGGCGAATCTTCCGTCGAACCATACATGAATACACATCAGTTTCTCCAAGTGTCACCAAGCCATTTCTTTCAACTGTGCAAAACTAGATAAACAATAACGGTCGAAAACCTCTAATCGATTGGTGTCTTTAACAGGCACACTCTAGATCTCGTAACGATAAAGCAAAACTGGTCGCACATCGGCACAGCAAAAGCGATCTGCTAACTTAGAAGAAACGGTACATCTGAGGCAAAAATTAGAATCCAGTGAAGGCTACTCCAGCCCGGGACATGCGTACGGTCGGTCACTTATTGGATTATCCTCATTAGTGACGCAATCGTCGAGGAGAAGCTATCCATTGACGTTTAATCCTGAACATCTAGTATCAGATCAGGGACAGCCGATACTCAGTCCTGCACTATGACGATACAAAACACATGGTGAAAAGTGTGACAATTTATCTTCATATGCTCAGCGCGCTCTGTACATCTTTCATGCAGAAGAACAGACAGATTCCGTCAACGGATTCCATAAAAGTCGAAATAAGGCACCCTTGAGGAAGACTGTTGCTGATTAAGGAGCTAACTAGTGTATCACAGACCTAATGCGACTAGGTGATCATAGTAGGTGAATATGATTCTTGGACATTTCCAAGTGTGAGGAAACCGAAGAAAGCTTTACGGTCAAGTAAGTAAGTAAGTTTTATCAAGTTCAGAACGAGTATATCGGTATATATTAACTCCAACCAAAAATTAATCACGTCGAATGAGCGGTAAATAGATAGATAATCCAGATAACCTACGGATAGCTTCTACTACGATACATGAAAATCGAAGGCTGATCCTATGTGGCGGATGGGAAAGTCTGATTAGTGACATGAGGGCGGAAAAACTTACTAGCATATAACGCCTTGCAGATGGAACCAAGTCACTTGTTAAAGACATACTGGACGACACTCCGGTCTGACCGGCTGATCCAATTTCTTCCGCTGCGTTTGGTGTCAGGTAGATCCTTTCGTCAAAATCACCTGTGCCGATGATGTATTCTTCGTAATTGTTGTTCAAATTTTGTAATGTGATTTCAAAATTATCCGGCTCCAGAATGCTACCATAAACGAGTGGTGGGTTGAGTTTAATCAGTTCCTAAAATAAATAAAAAATTTTTTAGTATCATTAATCTAGTTGACCTCAAGGAGCCTGGAAACAGAATGGATGAGAGATGATCTCATGTAACATCGAAACAGGTTTTCTGCTAATTCGGCTAAGAATGGGTGAGTGATTTTTCTAAACATATTTACACACCGCGGTGCATCAGTATCTCTTCAACCCCGAAATGGTCACCTTGTTAAAACGCCTTAGTCGACATCGCCACATCACTAAGATAGATATAATCAACTGTTGAAAACTACAGATCATTGCCATGGATTGGTGTATAGTTGAGTCCTTTTCTGGAAAACAAAGACACTAACACCAAGAGCCCCTTTCCCCTCCGATCCGAGCATACGTGTATATTTATGCTTTCACTATCACAGAGCAACGAGATGCTTCCAGGCGCGTAAACCCGGTTGACACGTTGAAACAGTACTGCGTAGAGGGGAGGGAGTGATAGAAAACCACACTGGCTTCCACGGGGCCCAGGAATGAGATTACAACAGTCCAGTTTGTAATACAGTAATAATGCTAGCGTATATAAGTGCAGCGCATGAACGAACCGAAAAGAGGACGAATGAAATGGAGGGCTTGACTTCGAGTTGGTGGTGTACAACTGTATCAGATGATCGTGTAGGTAAATTTTCAACAGTACAAACGTCTCAAAAGCCAGAACGGTAACAAAAGTTGAGCAAATGTACGAAATGAGGAGCAACTAAAATGAAAGATCAAAAACAAGCGATAGGAACGAGCAGCAGCTAAGGCTGCTCTCACAACGCAGGTTCATTCGAAACAAAACGCTTCTTCAATAAACTGTAAAAGATAGATGAGAACTGGGCAAGTACTACCAGTTGCTATCATTCCTCCATCTGAATTGAAAGTTAACCGAGAAATCAG